TTAGCCCTTGAGTGAGCTGAATCAGTAGATTGTATCAATACAGAATCAGTTTCCAGTGAACCTGTTTGATTATGATACAGAGGGTTTTTAGGCCAGTGGCATTTCTAGAATTATACTCTCTTCAACTAATGTTGCGTGATAACCAATATTTAGCTACGGTAATATTCATTATAGCATTGTTTGTTTAGACTAGAAAAATCTGGAAAACAACAGAATATTCATTTGGGATTGGTTCAGCGTTCCATCAATACTATTTACCTTTCCATAGACATTAGGAGTGATACTGCAGAAGACTGGTTATATAGGACCATATTTCTGACAAATTATTTACAGAGAAAAAAAACTGGTCTCAAGATAGAAGTATGACCATTTTGTTAAATTTAAGAAGTAAAATTAAACATAAAGTGTACACACATGTATACTTGAAATTTTAAACATTCTTTAAAAATATTGAAACATGAGTTTTATATAAACTAAAAGGGCTAACGGGTAACTAGAGAGGTCTTAAATCTATATCATTTGCCCACTGAGATATATGTAAGAAGCTCTATCAGGAATTCTTACCAAGTTCAGACCCCAACAGGGAGTAAGGAGTTCATGAACTACAAAATAGTCCTGAGAGTTAAAGGCTACTTCATTATAATTTTTAAACTCTTTTTTGAGTATCGTGTACTGCAGTTACATCATTACCAGTCTTCTCCCCCTATAGCTCCACTGTTGTCTCCCACTCCCTCACAACCGTGTTTTATATATACACATACACATACACACGTACACACACACAGAGGCATATGTATAATAAAGGTCACTTATATATAGCTGAACATTTGGGATTGGATAACCTATCAGGGAGCTCTACCCCAGAGAAGACTGACCAGCCCTCTTGTAGCAGCCATTACTTGGCTTCATCTAGAGGTGGGCACTTGAGATTCTCCACAACCATGTTGCTTATTAACTGGTGTTATCATTGTGATGGTTTGTATATGCTTGGCCCAAGGAGTGGCACTATTTGGAGGAGTAGGCTTGTTGGAGTAGTGTGTTACTGTGGGTCTGGGCTTTAAGACCCTTATCCTAACTGCCAGGAAGCCAGCCTTTTCCTGTTTGCCTTCGGGACAAAACGTAGAACTCTCAGCTCCTTATACATCATGCTTGCCTGGATGCTGCCATGTTCTCACCTTGATGATAATGGACTGAACCGCTGAGCCTGTAAGCCAGGCCCAGTTAAATGTTGTCCTCATAAGAGTTGCCTTGGTCATGGTGTCTGTTCACAGCAGTAACACTCTAACTAAGGCAATCATTGATCCAGTTTTTTGTTTTTTGTTTTTTGTTTTTTGTTTTTTTGTTGGTTTTTTTTTTTTTTTTTTTTTTTTTTTTTTTTAGGTTTTTCGAGACAGGGTTTCTCTGTGTAGTCCTGGCTGTCCTGGAACTCACTCTGTAGACCAGGCTGGCCTCGATCTCAGAAATCCACCTGCCTCTGCCTCCTAAGTGCTGGGATTAAAGGTGTGAGCCACCAACTCCTGGCCTCAGTGTTGTTTAAATGACCGTGTTGTTACGATTTCAAGGATGTAACTTACTGTTGTATATAGAAGACACTATGTCATAATCCACATTAACAAAATCTTCTGAACAATGCAGTGAGGAAGAACAGAGACCAAGAAAAGAAAGAACAAAAGAAAGATAAAATTGCTGTCAGTGTTAAATACAGGGAAACAGGCTGAGTAGACGGTGACTCTGACCCAAAAGTACATTTCCAATCTCCTGGGGTTTTCAATCACTCCATTGACTCCAGCATCTGATACTGAGTATCCTGGGGGGGGGGGGGGTGGCTCTTTAGCACCTGGGGCAGTGCTTGATGTGTTTGTTCTAAAGGTGTTGCATTTTTTTCTACTGATTTGTAGGTTTGTGATCCTAGAGATGGACAAGCCAGCCTGTGTTTTTTGAATCTACCTCAACTTCTTCATTTGTTCTAATTTTACTCAAAATACATTCTGACTACCACCCAGGGAGCATTTCTTGAGGAGCACTGGCTTTACAAAACAATTGTGGCCACTTAAAAAAGTCTAGATTTGTCAATAAATACAGCTGTAATAACCAGAACATGATTATTTAAATTTGTGTCCTACTTTTCAAAAGTTCTCTCTTGGTTAAGTTAGGGTTCTACTCCTGCCTTTGCCATCAAGATCTGTGTGACCTTAGGCTCGCCAGTTTATCATAGGAGGGGATAAATGGTGTGTATGAAAGCTCTCTGCAAATTGTATTTGAAATGTAGTAATTATCAAACTTGATCTCTAAATCTCTTCAGGGTCTAAAATTTTTATTCATTTTAAAAATAATTTTAGTAAATTCATCTGATAAGTGCCAACTATTATAGTTTGGCACATATGAAGACTCCTTTAATTGGAAAACGCCTATTTTAATGAGTGTGGAATAGTTGGTGAGTTTAAATAACAGCACCCCAAATAAAGTCAAGTCTTCAGGAACTTAGGGTAAACGGTTTTACAGAATGATAGATGAGTTAAAAGAGAAGACTGAGTCCCAGCCAATACCTTAAAAAAGTTTCCACATTTGAAAGCAGATATCACCAAGTTTGCCCATCCTGTGCCAAAGAAATTAAAATCAATCGTCTGATCGGCATAATAGAAACTACGGCTGCAAGGGTTGTGGCCACTCGCACATTATTTTGTCCCTACTGGAATGGTGAGTACAATATTCTGGAAACAAATAACACATGCCAAACTATACACATCAACTTTATTTTCCATGTGCCTGTGTAAAATCATATAACCTTAGAAGCACTTCTGAAAGACACTTAGACTACGAGGCCCACAACTGAGATTTTTTGCAGGTGGGTTTCTAACAAGTCCTCCTTTTAAAAAGTTAGATATATAAGTTGACTTAAAAAAAAAATGGCCGGGCAGTGGTGGCGCTCGCCTTTAATCCCAGCACATGGGAGGCAGAGGCAGGTGGATTTCTGAGTTCGAGGCCAGCCTGGTCTACAGAGTGAGTTCCAGGACAGCCAGGGCTACACAGAGAAACCCTGTCTCAAAAAACCAAAAAAAAAAAAAAAAAAAAAAATCATTGACCCTCAGCACCAGTTTTTAGGATTATTTTTACTTAATATGGATAGCTATTTTGACTGCATGTAAATCTGTGCACCATATGGGTGAAGTGCTCTGGAGGCCGTAGGGCATCTGATCTTCTGGAACTGGAGTTACAGACAGTTGTAAGACATCATATGGATGCTGGGAACCGACCCCAGATCTGCTGAAGAACTCCAGCCATCTTTCCAGCCCCCCACACCCCAAAAATGCATTTTAATGACACAAATGTAGGAAGATAAGAATCTCAATAAAATACATGAAATTAGATTAGTAGATGAAAAACATACAACTCGCTAATCTTTAGAACGCTTTGCTAGATTTGTACCTATCTAACCACAGACCTTTGAAAATCACCTAGTTTAGTTCTGTTTGTGTTCTCCCTACCACAGCAACTAAGTATTTATAACCCTCCACCAAGATGCCTCATGTTTGTGTGTGTGTGTGTGTGTGTGTGTGTGAGAGAGAGAGAGAGAGAGAGGGAGAGAGAGAGAGAGAGAGAGAGAGAGAGAGAGAGAGAGAGAGACTGACTCTCAGCTTTGGCCAGAGTTTGCTTATCCTTCAGAACTCCTTGTTAAGCCCTAGATAGACTCTGTTTTTAACTACTATACCAGCTTTCAAAGTTGCATTTAAAACTTTTTTTTTTCCATTTTTCCTGGTCTGGAGTGATGGCTCAGTGGTTTAGAGCACTTAAATACCCTTGCAGAGCACCTGGAGATCACCCACCTCAGATGGGTCTCCAGCACCTGTGACCCCAGTTCATGCGCTCCGGTTCTCTCTTGCATCCACGTACGTGGTGCACAAAAACTCATGCATGCACACACATACACGAAATAAAAATACATCGCTTTTTATTTTAATGTTTATTTTAGGATTCATTTAAAAGTTTTACAATTCAGGCTATATTCGTGTTTCATAGCACCCTAGGGAGCTTTTGTAAACCTTAACCTCCACACTCAAATTTTAGTAAAATTTTATACCTGAAAATAAGGTCAAGCCCTGTTTTATCAGCTTTAAATAAAAAATTACCTCAAGTTTTAAACAACGTCGGTTTTATTTTGTAATATTTATTTATACCGTTTGCATTAATAGTGTACTTCTCAACATGACCCAAGACGAAACTGTGGGGATGGGTATAACAAATTTTACTATGCGCAATTTTCTTATTGTTGTTAAGGTTTTCTGTTCAATACGTAATATTATGAAGCTTCTTTATAATTGTTTCTTTCAAATAATAAGTGTATTCAAAGGGATACGAACAGACATAGGGCGAGACTAATTCCAAGTTCTTTATGCTCCCTTTAAAAATAGGGGAAGGGGAGTTAGCAATATTTCACGGAGCCTTGGACTCTAATTACTAGTAATCAACAGGGATCGCTAAAACCTGAACCACTTCCTAAACCCAGCTCGCCCAGAGCAGCTTTTCTCTTTCCATCAGAGACCACAATCTATTTCGACCCACTGTGCTGGAAAAGGACGGCCCCAGAGTGACCTGAAAAAGGATCAAAGGCTATAAACCGCTTCAAACGCGGAAAAAAAGGTCACTCAATTCCTAAGGAGACCAGAAGCTTTCATTGGCCACATTTGAAAAGAAGGTGACTCCCTAATGCGCTCTCCTGACGCACAGCAAGACACTGCCCTCAGGGTCCGAAGTGACTAACAGGTAGCAAGAGCCGCGGCCGGCCGGAAGTAGAAGTGAGCCCGGGCGGGGAAGAGGACAGGCCGCACCAGGCCTGCGCAGTCCGCAGGTATCTCAGTGCGCAGGCGCAGCGGGGCGTGACTGGGTGACGCTAGGAGAGTGGGCTGCGACTCTCGCGAATCCGGTTCCGCCCTCCCTTTCTCAACCCACCCTACCGAAAGAGCGCCCGAGATCCCTTTCCCAGAGTGCTCCGCGCCGTGAAGAAGCGGCTCCCGGGGACTGGGGGCATTTTGTGTTGGCTGGAGCTGGAGTAACAAGATGGCGGCATCAGCGGAGTGACGGGTTCCCTCCGGGCCGGAGCCGGCGGCAGTGGTGGCAGCGGTACCGCCGCCCTAATTCACCGCGCCCCTTCCCCAGCCCGCGACGTCGCCGCGAACGCGAAACAGCGGCGACCGCCCAAATACCAAGTGGCCGAGCTTCAGCAGCCGCGACCACCCTTCACTAACTGCGGCCTGGCCCTAGCGGCGGCGATCCGGCTTCTCTCAGCCGCCTTTGCGCCCTGTAACGCCAACAAAGCCTTGGTTTTAGGTTGCCTGCCGCGCTCTTCAGTTCTGCCGGGTGGAACAGCCCCGGAGGCTTCCATCCTCTTCCAGAGGTGCCGGGGCTTGGCCCCCGCCTCCGTCTTCGCATCTCAGGATGGCGAGCAGCAGCGGCTCCAAGGCCGAATTTATCGTCGGTGGGAAATACAAACTGGTGCGGAAGATCGGATCTGGCTCCTTCGGGGACATTTATCTAGCGATCAACATCACCAATGGCGAGGTAATCACTTGGTTCGGGGGGAACGTTAACGCTGGGCTTTTTTTCACCCCAACCCCCCTTAGTACTCCAAGCCTCTTCCCACTGCACGCACGCACGCACGCACTGGGGAGTCCAGAGCAAGCCAGTTTTCCTGGCTTAGCAGCCTCCCCCACTATTTCCCAAAAAAGGAAAAACCCGATAGAAAAGGAAGGGTAAACTCAGAGGTTTTCCACTTTGTTCAAAGTATCTTATTTTAACCGTTAAGATGAGAAGGGCGAAGTCGTGTGATCGCCATGGTTTTCTTTGTATTTCTTAAATTTAATCTGAGGTTCTTGTTCCAGTTATAACAGTTTCCTTTTAAAAGTATCGCCTTACGTTCCAAGGTTGCCTGTTTTCTGGATGACTCCTTTCATTCACTTTAGATTTAGAGGACATGGAAAGGGTTCGCCTTTGCCCCCCTGAAAAGGCCTTTGAGGCTGCTTGTGCTTTGTAATTACTGAGGTAGCTTTCCCCATCTTTTCACGTCCTTGTAGAGGCGACTAGAAGCAAGCATTGCTAACATTTCTTCTCGTTTCCCAAGTGAGTTTGAATCTGTAGGGATTTTGATACCATCATCCCCTTTCCTCTGCAGGAAGTGGCAGTGAAACTAGAATCCCAGAAGGCCAGGCATCCCCAGTTGCTGTACGAGAGCAAACTGTATAAGATTCTTCAAGGTGGGGTTGGCATCCCTCACATACGGTAAGAACCTTTGAGCACGTAGTCGATCACAGAGGGAATTGCGAAATGTTGAAAGGGGTTGAGGCTGGTAATTGGACCCGATGAATCGGTGTTGGTAATGAGTCCTCCAGATTCCACAGTTAACCGTAATCGTTGAGTAATTTTTAGTTCTTCAACTTAGTTTGTTCCACTGCTTCATTTAGCTTCTGTCATTTTTCCACTTCCCGAGGCTTTCATTTGCAGTTAACTATGCGGGTCGTCTTTGGTCCCTACGCGGAAGTGTTGGCTTCTTGCTATTTTTAAGGAGACCTTTGGTGTTCATACGTTTGTCCCCTGAAGTGGTTTTCAAGGTGTGGATGTAACTGAGTTTAGTCTATTGGGGTTGCTATCGGAGCTGGTTTGGGAAATGGCTGCTCTTTTGTTGTGTTTTTGTTCCAACATGTCTTCCTCCTCCGCTTAGAAAATGGCGGAGCGACGTGACTCAACCCCCATATTTCTGCCTTTTTCTCAGCTTGGAATCACAAAATAAGCTTCCTTTATTAGCCTTAAATGGATTAACCTTGAAAAGCCAAGAGTTGAGTTTCATAAGGCCATGAGATTCTGGGAACGAGATGACATGGCTATGTGATCTCTGCAGCAGATTCGACATAAACTTGTGAAATTGTACTCATGTAAAATTCTTAGCCCTGTCCAATGCGTTCGTTGCTTTTTTGCTTTTGTGAATGGTAATGTTTGATGTTTCAGTTCCTACAAACTTTATGTGTAATGGCAAAGGCAGTTTTGAACAGCACCAACTGTTGAAATCTGCTGGTCAGCTGTATAAAAGAAAGCTTCACTTGACAACAGTTTGATAAATAGTTTCAACCTGTTGAATTATTTTGTTGGTAACACTTAAAGGGAATTAGAAAGGAATGAATGGTAAATAGAAAATAATCAGGATAGAAACTGCTCTTTCAAATATTTTAATGTTTTAGAATAATTTTAAATTTTGTTTTTGAAATTAACCTTTAAAAGTATAGTTTTAAATCTCAACTGTTTCCTAGCAGTACTCACAGGTAGCATTTGCAAATGGAATCATAGATGAGAAGTAAATGGACTGTTACATAATGTATTCTCTCTTCTATCCCTCCCTCCCCTCTGCCTACAATGGGCATTGTAGACCAACCAACTACCCTGGGCCTGGAACTCAGAGATCAGCCTGCCTCTGCGTTCTTAGTGCTGGGAATAAAGGATTCAGCCACACCTGGGCTTTTTTCCCCCTTTGAATCCTCAAAGAATTGTCTTCAACCTAAATAACACTACTTTTAAAAACAAATTTTTTAAAAAAGAAAACGTTTTAATAAAGATGTTGGAAGGTAAATACACCACTGATCATTTGTAAATGAGCTCTTTGAAAATTCAGATTTATGTGGCAAATACTAAAGTGAAATTGGAGGAGATCTAAGTTTGAGCTTTGAACATTTTTTGTCCCTAATATACACAATCATGGGAGGAAATAAAGCCCTCAATCTCCACTGATTTGTTTTCATTACCATTGTTTTTCCTGGGATTTCTTAGAAGTACAATCACTGTACCAGGTCATTTGTATTTGATTATATATATTGCCCTCTGTTGAGAGAGTTATACATTTCAAAAAACAGTCCTTGCCTTTTCAGTGCTTAAAAAAATGCTAATGTGTTATTCAGTCTAATAGCTTATTTAAGGGCCATGCAGATACAGATCATTAAGGGCTTTGAGTAGTATATTAAATAAGCAGATGAATAAACTAACTTGGGAGCAGACTAGTAGGTGCCTACTATAAAATGGTGAATGCAGAGAGAGTTAAGGGCTTTGTAAGTAAGCTTTCCTTGGGTGTGGCTAAATAGGATTAACCTGGCTTTTAAATTAAGGCTTCCTGGGAAAGGAGATGAGATTTCAGGAAGAAAGCTTGGTAGACTGGTCGGGGAGGGCATCCAAGAATAGATGGCTTCTGGGAGTGGTTCCTAGGGCAGAATGGTAATTAGGGAGGGGTGGGGAGAGTGTACTGGGATATTTAGCAGTGGTAGGAATGGGTACATAGACACAAATAAGTGTGTTGGGTTTTGGTTTTGTTTGTTTTTAATTATTTTGAGACAAGGGTCTCATTGTACAGTTCTGACTGGCCTCAAGCTCAGATTGTTTTGTCCTTCCCTCTCACTGGTTTTTGTCTATTCCTCAGTATTTCTATGTCACTTATGCATACTAGATAGATAGACAGATAGGCCCACACACATATAATATTGGTAAATACTGAGTTGGCTGCTAAATAGAGCAGTCTGTTTTATCCATTAATTGATATTAATTTAAAATTTAAATTTTTACCTCATTGTACCCATCCCCCTTTCGTACTTTGGTTTGTGTGTGTACATATAATCTGTTTATAAGATGGACTTTAGGATAATCTGGTATATCCTAAAAGAGACTCAGTTGCCTATGAAGATGGTGGCCCCCCTTCCTCTGTACTTTGAGGGACTTGCAGCCACTTAGAAGTCTAGCATCAAGAGTATGACATTCAGTTGTATGCTACAAGAAACTGATTCCTTTGGCTTGTGGGATATCTGGAAGCTCATCTAGAATCTCGTCTGTTGTCTTCCTTTGCTATGTGCTGTTCTCAAGTCAGTTCACTTTCTCTACAGAAAAAAAACTGTTTTCATAAACAGGAAGAGTTGTTACCTAAGTGGAAATGGTTAGGGATTGGATATTTGAGCTCTAGATCTGCTCAGGGCTCTTGAAGCTAAGGTGATCTAGAGTCAGTCTCTTAACCTCTTGAAGGCTCATCAGCTTCCTCATCTATACAATTAAAAAATTACTAATTTATTAATGTTTTTAGTTTTGTTGGGGGTGGAAGAGTGCTGAATAGAAAGAAATGTTGAGGAGGCTCTGCAGTTAAGAGCATTTAAGGTTCTGAATTGAGGTCTCAGCACCTGCTGGGTTGTTCACAGCTGGCTCCAGCTCCAGTTCCAGGGGAGTGTGATGCCCTCTTGTCATCCAGGCACTTGGACTCCCATGATACTTACATACTTATACCCTTTTACTACCAAGGAAAAAATAGGAAATGTATTCTTCTGGGAAAAGAACTCACTTCTTCCCACCTTTTTTTATGTTCAGAAGTTTGGGTGTGAATAAAGATTTCCTATTAAAAGTGTTTTTGATTGCTTATTTAATCGCAGACCTTTCAGTTCATGAGTTTTTAAGGCTTCCAGGTGATAGTTACAAGCATTTTGTTTTTCAAAGTTTGGTGCTATGTCAAAGTCTTACCATTAAATGTTTTTTTATGAAACTACCTCCAAGACTAATAAATGCTGCATCTGCTTCTGGCAACTTTTAGATTAACTATTTAGAAGGACATAATGGTAAAATGTACTTTTATAGGAAAAGTGTGTATAAGAAGGTGGTTTAGGTATGGGAAAATAATTTTTGCTTATGTTTTTCAACTACATCTTCCTGCATTTGCACTTATGAAGCACTAGTTAATACAGTTATTGCTAAAAGAAGAAGTTTAAACAATTGCAGTCTTAAACTTCTGCTTTCAAGTATATACGTTGTGAATAAGGTTGTCATGTTATAGAGGAAAACAGCTGTTGAAGGTGTTATGAAAATGACTTCTTTCAAAGTGTACCTAAATTCAAGTGTACTAGAAATGCTTTGTATTGTTAATTTGTGGGATGGTGTTTTTGAGCTGATAAAACCTGAGAGAACATCTACTGACACAAATTTAAAAAAGAACATCTGATAAATTTGAGTTCCTGGCTCCATGTTCTCCTGAGAGCCATTATCACCTCGATGTCAAGGTCATATCTTGCCTGTTCTACACTCCACCCCTTTATTTGATACTGAGAGAGGCATGCTTTCTCAAGTACCAGTATCCCATGGAAGGAACAATATAGCTAGGCTTGGTGGCTCATGTCAGTAATCCTAGCATTTAGAGCATTGTGAGGCCAGCCTGGGTAACAACATTAGGACCTGTCTGCAGAGGAGAAAACATGTATAGGCAGAAGTCTAGAATTTGTTGCATCTTTTTAAGTCAGGGTCTCACCATGTAACTTGTCTGACTAGGAACTCAACCTTGTAGACCAGGCTACCTTGAACTCTGATATCCTTCCTCAAGAGTGTTAGGATTAAAGATGTTCTCCACTACTTTTCAGTAATTCAGCCTTGGGTTATTACTAAGTAAGTTACTTTTGCCTATCTTTTATAAACTACAATCTGAATTTTTTAGGGTAATTTTTATATTATAATTGTGTGTCCATTTTTTTCTAAATTTGGTAACTGACCAAAACAAAGTACTAACAATACCAAAGCCTTCAAGTTGCTAATCTGCTTCTCACCTTAAGTTCTCTGTAGAAATTACCTGACAAAATAATTACGTGGCTGTGATGCTCCTGGTTGAATTCTCAGTGATAGTTAATAACTTTAACTTGATTCACTCCCTCTAAAGACCTAGAATATTGCCATTCCCTAGTCTTGGTGACCAGTGAGTGGAGATGTATTGTGGCTGGTTTAATAAGGACTTTGAAAGTGCCATACAGAAAGAATTAGTTGAAAAGTATTAGATATTAAAATGGAAAAGGCAAAAGCCAAACTATTTGAACCTAGAAGTCCATAATTTTTGAGGCAAGAGGTTCAAGAACAGCCTGAAGCTACATTGCTAATAATAATAATAAAGCAATAATAATTAACCAAACAGGAAAGAGCTCAGTAGTTAAGAATGTGTACTGCTCTTACAGGAGATATGAATTATATTCCCGACACCTATTTTGGGTGGCTAATGACTAACTCCAGCTCCAGGGAATCCAACTCCTCTGTGATCACTCCACTCGTGATTCATATAAACATTTTGGAAAAATAAATAAAATGAAGAACAAGAGTCACACTATTCAAGCATTATTTGTTAACTACCTCTTAATCACTACAAGAGTCCTATAAGTTGAGAGTTTCATATAAAAATAACATAGTATATGACATAGATATTTAAGGGCCTTTAGGGTGATTCTGATGTGGAA